TTGTTTTTCCATATTTGCAACTGTTTTTGAGCTTAACATATAACATAGAAAAGTCTTGTTTTTGAGTGCTCTAAATAGTTTGTTAAGGGTGTTTTAAGATTTGGGGTTGTTTGACCCCTCTTAAGGCTTGTTTGGCCTTTGTTTTGTGCCATTTCGGTTGAGCTCCGGGACCATTGTGTTTGGGCTCCTCACCACTAAAATCTTGAGGGATTTCAGTGATGAGGATGGTGCCTTGAGGTCCTAAGAAGGAGAGGGCCACCCCCTCTCCTTGTTGTCCTTGAAAAGGGCTATTTTTAGCCTCTTGAGGGAGCATATAGTTTGAGTGTGTATTGATTATGCCTTGACTGATTTTCATGCTTATTATTTCATAATATAGCATTGTTGTATGTTGGTTTTGGTGCACCATGCTTGCTTAGCATACATGCCTGCTTAGCATACATGCCTTGTAATGCCTTATTTTAGCCTTAACACGTCCTATGCTTTGAGCCCTTATTCAAGCATGCTTAGGCCTAGCTTTATGAAGCTTTTATGTTTGTCTTGCCATGCTTAAGGCCTCTCCTTGGCTGTTTTGGTCGACCAAAACATGCATTGCATAGTCCCTTTGCATCTTGGATTGTTAGCCCCAAGTGTGTGAGTGTGGAGTATGCTTTACTTGCTTTGATTTAGTGAGTTGGAGCCATTTTCCATGTCATTTCAGTCCACTTAGCATGCTTGTATGCTTGCATTTCATGGCCCCTTTGATGCTCCAAGAGGTTGTGTCCTATGCTCCATGTTTGGTCATTGTGTATGCTTCCATGTGTAAGTCATTTAGATGCCATCTAAGTGGTCTTTTGGCTTTGTTTTAGCATGCTAAAACTCTGGTTTTGGTCACTTAATTCATGCCATGTGTGGTTGCATTAAGTGTAGTTCAATCCCCCTTGGGCTTGCCTTGAATCTTGGACCATTGTCGCATGCCATGCTTACCTTGTTTACTTGGCTTAGCACCATTCTTAACATGATTTTCAAAGCTTATGGTGCATGCCATTTGTCCATGATTGCATCCTCTTAAGTGTGCTTGAGAGTCACCTTTTGATGTTTAAAGTCTTAAGCCATATTTGCATGCATGCTTATATATCTAGATACTTGGCTCATGACACATTGTTGTACACTTTTGTGTTGTTGCATTTGGCATGCTTTGTATCTAACATGTTGTCCATATTGCACCTTGCATGTGTGCATGTTGTTGTTACACTTTGCATGGTTGGTTAGTTGCACCTTTGCATTACTTGCTTGCATGCCCATATTGCACACTTAGGCTCACATGCTTAGGATTGCTTTGCATTGGCATGCATGCTTCACCTCTTGATCAAGCCATGATAGAGGTTGAAAGCCCCTTGGTTTGTTTATATGCATTGCATTTCATTTGAAATTGAAATGCACACTTGATTCTTTGGGCCACCATGCATGGAAATACGCGATTGGTGGTCCAAGAATCGAGAATCATATCCCTTTGAGTCATGAATATGATAAGGAGTGTGATTGGTGCATACATTGCTTGAAATATATTGCCATGCCAAGTTCTGTCCTCTGCTGCTGTCAAAACAGATTCAGGAGGAAGAATTGGCCGGCCAGCAGTGTCGAGTGCCGATCGGCAAAGAATGTTTGGCCGAGAGTTCAATTTATGGTCGATGGCCACTTCAAAATGGCCGGTGAAAATTCCACTTGGTCGGTGATGCTCCCCAGTGTCCAGTGAGTTCACCTTGGGAGTTATGCAATTTTCAGAGAAGCAGAATAGTCAAAGCAGAGGCAAACTTGTGCATGGCATTGGATTTCTGAGCAAACCCGAGCACGCGCGCATTGGATCCTCTTCCCGAGGCCTTTACTGCTTTTTTAGCTTAGTTAATTTGCTTAATTAATTAGGTGGTCTGTATTAATTAGTTAGCTTGTAGGTTAATTAATTTGTATTATTCTTTTGGTCCCTCCGAGCGAGGGTGAATTTGTAATAAGTGTGGGTGCGTGTGTGCTTGTCTTCCAACCCCCACTTCTTTCTCCCTTTTACTTACCTGCTTTGATGGTTAGTACTAAGACATGTTTACTTTAGCATACCTTATGCTATGCATCCGTGCATCATTCATTAGTCTTACATACACCAGGCTCAGGCGCATCATACTAACTGCATAAGTATTTCAAATCTAACTTGAATATGTGCTACTTGTGCATTTTCACATGTCATTTATAGACTAGCCGAGCCTACTCTAGTGACATTCCGTATGCGTTGCATTAGGCATTTAAACATGGACTTGGATCATGCATTGCTAACATGTTCTTGTTTTGGCATGGAGTACTTGGTAAGCATTTATGCTTTAGCATACCGCATGCGTGTGAGTGTTGCCATAACAGCATGATTACCATGAGGCTAGCTGCTTATGTGATATAACTGCTTGAATGCCTGTGGATGGAGGTTGAATTACCTAAATTGGGATAATGCATTAAAACTGTGAGTTTTAAGCCCACTAGATAGTGTCAAAACCATCTTTTCTAAAGCCCACTTGAGGGTGGCAAAATTGGCATTTCAGCCTACTTGCGAGTAGCAAACCATTTTCAAAACAATTACCATGACGCTAGCTGCTTATGTGATATAACTGCTTGAATGCCTGTGGATGGAGGTTGAATTACCTAAATTGGGATAATGCATTAAAACTGTGAGTTTTAAGCCCACTAGATAGTGTCAAAACCATCTTTTCTAAAACCCACTTGAGGGTGGCAAAATTGGCATTTCAGCCTACTTGCGAGTAGGAAACCATTTTCAAAACAAGCATGAAATGTTTTGTTCCAATTTAGGTGATTTGGTCTATACTTGTTTGCCGTGCGCATAACATAGTAATTCTAGGCTAATAAATGGAATAAGAACACACAACGTTTTCAAAACTGGATATCACGGTTAGTAGAGACCGATCTTCGGATCGGGCGAGAGGGGGTGCTCATAGCTGACCTTCCCCAATCGTACCCAAGCTCCCGAGCCGAGGCAACTTTGGTGATGACGGACACGTGGCCCTTGGCACCGAGTCAGGGTTTCCTAAATTCCCCAAAATAAAATATTTAGGTGGCGACTCTGTATCTGGCAAAGCAGTCCATGTTTGGCACTTCTTTTCAAAAAATCTGTTTGTCAAAACGATTTGTCGGATTTGGACTCTTTGGTTCAGATTAAGGACTGTGACACAAATTGAGTCCGAACTGTAGCGAGGCCCGCGGGCGCGTCTACAGTTGGTAAGGGAGTTTGGTTTTCCATTTGCTATAGTTGTTTAGCATGAACACTTTGATATGTTTGGTAAGGGAGATTGGCTATATGTTTTGCATGTTGCTATGCACTGTTTGCTTATTATTTCCTTGTTGCATGCTATAATTGTTTGAGCTTCATTTGTCAATTTGTGACAAAAAGGGGGTGTGGTCTTGGTGGTACAGTTTTTGGTATATCTTGTTGGTGTACATGGTACTGGTACATGGTATAGTTGTTTTTACTACAGTCCATCCTTCTTTGGTACATTTGGATTGTCATATGTTTTGGATGGATAATATATTTGGATAATGTTTTGTTTATGGATGGACTTATCTTTTGTTATTTAATCTAGTTCCACATATTTTTGGTTGGCTGGTGTGTGATTGTTTTCTTTCAGGATAATTGTTCAAGAGCATGGATTTGAGATTTGGTTATGAGTGTTGGTTCATAGTTGGTGGTGTTGATTTTGTGATTTTAGTTTGGAAAATTGTTTTAGTACTTTTGTGATTTTGTTAGGAAAACTGTTTTAGAATGGTTTTGTTCGGGATTTGACAAAGAGGGAGATTGTTAGGACTCTTTGTTGCCAAATTCCATGGATCAAAACTGAGGTTGTAACAAGATCTAGTTTTTTAGATTTTCCAATTTTGGTCTCCCCGCTCAAGCGGGGAAAGTGACGCTCGAGTGGGGATTGCAAGCTCACAGCATCTCTGCTTCACCTGAAAAAAGTACTGGATGGTGTGATTCGACGCTCGAGCGTGGCAACTTCCGCTCGAGCGTGAAGCCTATATGAATCACACAATTTTAAAGCCTCCGCTCAAGCGGGAATTCCCACGCTCGAGCGAACCGCGCGAACACAGATTCTATAAATTCGCGTGTTTGGTCAAATCTAGGATTACTCCTCCAAATCTTCTTTTTGGGTTCTAAAGTTTATATCTGGGGATATTTTGCTAGTTTTCTTTGATGTTTTCATTGAGTATTCAACTCATGGTTTAAGAAGCATACATCAAAGGTTTGTTTGTTTATTCTACACAAAAGAGAGAGTTGTTCTTCGGTGGATTCTGAAGAATTCGAGCCTGAAGCTTTGGTGGATTCCGGAGTGGCTGATCGTCAAGACAATTCCGAGGTGAAGACGGGGTTGGAAGAGACACATAGAGGTTGGTTCAATTCGGGCGTGGATTCACTAGGTAATTGAGAGTATACCTGTGTAATTCCTTTATATTTTCTTAGAGCATCTCCAAAGCACTAGGCATATAATGCTTGTTAGGTAAAATGCCTAGTATGACTCACTTTTTTTAACTCCAATGCACTAGGCATGTGATTAGGCATTTTAGCTCATCTCACATTCACTAGCTACATGTAGCTAGCCTTTAAGACTAGGCACAATGTATTTAATCATTAGGATTATTTCCCTCCATCTTTGTTGCTGATGTGGCATTTTATAAAATTAATAGTATTTGAACGAATAGCTAAAATAAAGAGCATGGTTGGAGCAGAAACATGAAACAATTGATAGGCAAAATAAAATGTATACTTTATACTAATGTTTAGATAGGTAAAATGCCTATTACCGTTGGAGATGCTCTTAGTGGATTGTTTTGTGACTGTTGCCTGTGGTTTTTTTATCACAATTGGAGATGTCCAATTGTGATTTTTTCACGTAAAATCGTTTTGTCGATTTGTCTTAATTGTTTGATTGGGATTGTTGTTTACTGCTTAAAATTGATACATAATCACAAATCAACATCTAGGGGATTTCTAGATTTTTCAACTTTTATAGTTGAAAAGATTAAAATATACGAGTTCACAAATAAAGAATGATAAGATAATATTCAATAATAATTGAGGAGGTTTTGTCATAAATAACCCAAATTGTAATCTACCTTAAAATAATTATAGATGTTTGCTCTACTTATGAAAATAATAAATAAATAAATAAATAAAAAAGAAACCGCACAAGAGAGATACATTAATAGAGTTTCATTCCTAGTAGCATCTTTTTCATAAAAAGTGATGAAATGCTTTGCCTCTAGTCTTGGAAATCCCCTGTGGATTGACTGCTTGAGGGCATGCATCACTTGTTCAGAAAGATCAGAGCTTAAATGTGGTCCTCCCACCAGAGACTCAAGTTGGGCTATTGTGAAGGCATGAGCCTCATCTAGAAAACCTTCTCCACGGATCTTCATATATGTAGCTTCATATAAGCTTAACATACCCTTTACATCGTTGCTCACTGTTTCCTTGAATTCACCATTACTATCTCTGAATTTGTTGAACACATCTGATTCATAAGCCATCATATTATTGCATGTCAGTAACTAGAAAGTGAATATCCATTGAGTCTGGTTAAAATTACACTATATATATGTATATATTTATCATGTCATGCTAAGTAGGGACAAAATCAAGATTTTATTACTTGAGAAGTCAAAAGAATATTTTTTTTTCACCATATATACAAACATACACGTATGTACAATATGTTATATAATTATATATACATAGAAAAAAATTTAGAAAATGCAAGATGAGACATATATTTTTTATACTAGGGGTTCATTTTATGTATAAAATAATATATAAGAGTTATGTCTAGTGTCATGATTAATTTAACTATCAGAAGATTTTATATTTTAAATCTGACCACTTAACCTGATATATAAGAGTTATTATTTATTTTTATTTTTTTAAAGATTTTAAAGGACTATTAAATGAATTTGACTCTTTCAAAAATATTTTGAATTTTGCCCATCAAACAAAATTCAATCATAAATGATTTTGAGGCTTTTGACAATGTTTGAAAGCCTTCGAGAGAAGCATATATATATATATATATATATATATATTACATATGTATATGTTGTAAGAACTCTCATAAAGGGACAACAGTAAGGCACAGTAGTATCCCCTTCTCCGTTGTAAAGTGTGAGTTATGTTTAATTTGTGGGAAGGTGATTGTGTATTGCTTTAGGGTTTCTTGGTTGAAGAGGTAAATAAGTAGGAAATATTTCCTTTTGCAAATCACAAATCATGGGTAATTATTATTTTTACAAAATTAGTGTAATGGGTTAGCCAATAGTTTTTTTAAAAAAATATATTTTTAAATGTAAAAAAATCAATATATAGTATTGGAGCTCTTCTTATTGAAATATTATTTTGTTACAATATATAGTATAGATAAATATAACTGCTAATGGAATGAGGATTGCCCTATAATAAACGGACAATTTATGTTTAAAATAAATAATAACTGAAATTGAGGTGTCAGTTTTAGGGTATATGGTGAGGATGTAAATTACCACATGACATTTTATAGCCATGTTGTCTGAATATGCCAAAGTGTAGTGCAATGGTGAACAAATCATAGTCCTCATTGTCTTCAAAATTAGCAAACAATTGCTCCAATTGCTCTTCAATCTCTTTCTCGAAGTGATACGAAACACCAAGGCGTTCGAGCACGTTGATCAAATTCATTTGTTCTGCTGCTTTACGTCCACCAGCTACCACCATGCTCCTCACTTGTTCTTTCAACACTTCAATCTCATTACCATACTTGTTCCATAGCTGCCCACAACAACCCACCACATTCATTAATTACAACTACTTCACAATAAAATTTTGTTAATGCTGTGTTTAGTTCAAAGAGTTGAGTAGGAATTTAGACAAGAAAAGAAAAAAATGTATAAAAAGTTTGTGAAATGTTATTACAGTATATTTTTTTTACATTTTACTCACTTTTTTTTTTCAATATTCAAATCTCTCACCAAATTTATAAATCCAACACAGCCTAACAGAAATTTATTTATCAAGAAAAAGTGTCTAGAATTTTAACCTATAATATAATAAAGTGGATATATAAATTTAGTGGGGGTGTTTTAGACCAAACACTGCATAAGGTATAGTAAAGATCTTTTTGATCATGGTCTAAATAATAATTATAATAAATCATATTTAATATCACAATGAGTCGTAACTAAGTTATAATTAATCCTATAATAAATCATAATTAAATACTATAAAATAATGCTATATCTGCTGCATATAGTACACAAATCGAATATATTTGTTTACATAACATTATTTCTTTCAAATTTTAAATAATTTTTAAAGAAAAAATTCTTGATACTCACAAACATGCAGCGACCCCAATTAAGAAAAGTGTAGAGATCCCCTCTTATTCATTTAGAAAATTTTAGATTTGATGATTATGGGATGAAAATTAATTTATGGATTGTGAATTCATATGAGATCTATATATGATGTAAGAATAATATGAATCATAAAAAAAATATCATGAAATCCTTCATGAAGATTTCTCCTTCTTTGATTAGTGTGTGGTGTTTTTTTGTATGTGTAATCTAACGGTGAAGAATTTTTCATGATCATTTTTATAATATTTTTTTCATAATATCCAACATTATTCATGATGTAATAAAAATTAAATTTTAAATAATTTCTAAATAATCCGGATCCTCCATCGTATCAATATATGGTAATTCCTACGGTATTTTTTAACCACGTGGTTTTGAATATATATTTTTGGCCCTTTCCAGTTTTCTCTTTTCTCTCTCATCTCTCAAAGTAGAGACTAGAGAGACCACAACCCCAACAAACAGAGAGACGAAGGGCAACGGCGCGGAGGCGACGGCGAACGAGCTTGAGCTGGAAACGATGTTAAATATACCTCTTTAATGATCAAAACAACCAACTGTGAAAAAACTTTAAGAAATTTCCCAGGTCCATTTTCTTGTATGTAAAGACACCAAGATGATGTCCTCTTCTGGAGTCCATGGCCCTTTATCACAGCAAGGTGGTCTACCCATCTTACACACTCTCCCTCTCTCTTCAACTATTTCACACTCAAATCTTTTGTTTTATCAGCAAAAATCCTCTCTTTTTCTCTTTTTTCTTTCCAAGAGTTTCTTATTTTCTTGTCCATTTTCATTTAATTCCAAAACAAAAACAGTAAAAGACTCAATAATAAGTAATCTTTGTTCCTGGGTTTCACGGCAACCAAACAGGTTCTGGGTTTTCTCTTTCGGTCGACTTTTGAGAACCGATCTTGAGAATGAACTCGTCGCCGCCTTCCCTCGCCTCGCCACCGGAATCACCGTCGGCCACCCTCCTTCGCGTTTCGCCTCCGCCCTTCTCTGTTCGTCTCTCTCTCTCTCGAAGACTGGCTAGGGTTATGGAACAAATGAGAAAGAAAGCAAAAGAAAAAGGAAAAAATAAAAAACCTTAACAAAATGACGTTGCTTTGAAATTAACACATAAAACACTGCTGAAAACCATGGTAGAAGATCTGAACTCAATTTCTGAATTGATGAGGGTATAAAATTGATAAAGAATGTATCTGTAATATTTTGCAATTATGATGTAATACTTACCTGTTTATCTAAAGTGAATGAAGTGAATCTATCACCCCCACAAACTAGGGGGAAATTTGGCCAAGTGGCGAGTAGGCTCGGCGTTGTTGAAAATTTGGTTTATATAAGGCATATTTTAGGCTGACTTTGAGCCCAAAATTTAGTAGGCCCCTAAAATATTTTGGGGCGTGTCTGAAGAGGTGAAGTGTTTCTTGCCGCATGGCAAGTCACACGATGAAGACAGAACGTCAAAACCATTTATGAGTGAATGGGAAATTGACATCGTTTTCAGGTTTAACATTAATTTTTAGACGAAATTCATTTGAATTTTTTCAATAAAAATTATTGTGGGAATTTAATTTAAATCTAAATTCAAATTTTTGGTTTCCTAAAGTTTGTCAAATAAGATTAATATTTATATTCCAAACAGGTTTTATTAAAATCTATTATACTATTAGATTTTATTTTTTAAAAAATAAAAAAATAACCCAAATGAACTATGAATTATTATTATTTTTTATGAGAAATATAGACAAGTAGTAAATAATAAAAAATAAAAGTTAATTCAAAAAGTTATTTCACAATTTTTTTAACAAATACTACTCAGTAATTTAAATTTATAATCCAACAACTATACTAAATAAATTAACAGACTAACAATTTTTAATTAAAATTATAATTTATAATTTATTAAATTATAATTTATAATCTGTTTCAAATAATTATGCTAAACAAAGACATAGTGTAGTCATTTGGGTGTTTACTCTCTCACATGTCAGTTGCTTTACTAATAGAGAATTACAAATTTAGTTAAAGTAATAATATTTATACTTGAGGCCCCATTTTGACAAAACTGCCAAATTTGGTTTATCCAAAAGCACTCATTTTGAAAGAGATGCTAGATTGCGTTTACTCTCCCACATGTCAGTTGCTTTACTAATAAAAAATTATAAATTTGGTTAAAATAATAATATTCATACTTGAGGCCCCATTTTGACAGAACTGCCAAATTTGGCTTGTCCAAAAGTATAATGTGGCCCCATTTTGAAAGAGATGCCAGATTTGGTGTTTACTCTCCCACATGTCAGTTGCTTTACTAATAAAGAATTACAAATTTTGCTAAAGTAATAATATTCATACTTGAGGCCCCATTTTAAAAGAGATGCAAGATTTAGTGTTTACACTCACACATGTCGGTTGCTTTACTAATAAATAATTACAAATTTTGTTAAAGTAATAATATTCATACTTGAGGCCCATTTTGATAGAACTACCAAATTTGGTTTGTTCAAAAGTATAATGTGGCCCATTTTGCCAGATTTGGTGTTTTCTCTTCCACATGTCAGGTCCTTTATTAATAAAGAATTACAAATTCTGTTAAAGTAATAATATTTATACTTGAGGCCCCATTTTGATAGAAGTGCCGAATTTGGTTTATTCAAAAGTATAATGTGGCCCCATTATGAAAGAGATGCCATATTTGGTGTTTACTCTCCCACATGTCAGTTGCTTTACTAATAAAGAAGTACAAATTTTGTTAAAGTAATAATATTCATACTTGAGGCCCCATTTTGACAGAACTGCCAAATTGGTTTGTCCAAAAGTATAATGTGGCCCCATTTTGAATGTGATGCCAGATTTGGTGTTTACTCTCCCACATGTCAGTTGCTTTACTAATAAAGAATTACAAATTTTGTTAAAATAATAATATTCATGCTTGAGGCCCCATTTTGATAGAATTGCCAAATTTGGTTTGTCCAAAAATATAATGTAGCCCCATTTTGAAAGAGATGTCAGATTTGGTGTTTACTCTCCCACATGTCAGTTGCTTTACTAATAAAGAATTACAAATTTTGTTAAAGTAATAATATTCATACTTGAGGCCCCATTTTGACAGAACTGCCAAATTTGGTTTGTCCAAAAGTATAATGTGGCCCCATTTTGAAAGAGATGCCAAATTTGGTGTTTACTCTCCCACATATCAGTTGCTTTACTAATAAAGAATTACAAATTTTGTTAAAATAATAATATTCATACTTGAGGCCCTATTTTGATAGAACTGTCAAATTTGGTTTGTCCAAAAGTATAATGTGGCCCCATTTTGCCAAATTTGGTGTTTACTCTCCCGCATGTCGGTTGCTTTACTAATAAAGAATTACAAATTTTGTTAAAATAATAATATTCATGCTTGAGGCCCCATTTTGATAGAATTGCCAAATTTGGTTTGTCCAAAAGTATAATGTGGCCCCATTTTGAAAGAGATGCCAGATTTGGTGTTTACTCTCCCACATATCAGTTACTTTACTAATAAAGAATTAAAAATTTTGTTAAAGTAATAATATTTATACTTGAGGCCTCATTTTGATAGAACTGCCAAATTTGGTTTGTCCAAAAGTATAATGTGGCCCCATTTCGAAAGAGATGCCAGATTTGGTGTTTACTCTCCCACATTGCTTTACTAATAAAGAATTACAAATTTTGTTAAAGTAATTGAGAGGGTAATTTTTGGAGAGAATTGGACCGAGCTGTAAGATGGACTTTATGGCCCAAAGTGTGAAGGACTCAGTAAAAGGCCGTAATGATATTCCGGCCCAGAAGAAGCATAGTTACTCCGGCCCAGGAGAGGTATGGTTACTCCGGTTAGGAGAGGTGTAATTGCTTCGGCCCAAGATGGTGTAGAGCTACTCCAGTCTGGAGGTAACTTGATGTTAGTCCGGTCTCAAAGTTAGTCCGGTTGCGGTGTATTATGGTTAGATCGGTCGGAGCTTGCTACTCAGAAGCTTGGTCTCAGCATACCATGGTTGGAGGAGAAAATCGAGCTAAGGATAGTTCGGTCTTCTCTGTGGCTCAGCATAGCCAGTGTTACTTCGGTCAAATGGTGATTCGGCCATGGAGAAAACCATTCCACTTGGTTTAAGCAGTGGGGGAGGGTGTAAAAGGATAAGCATTATCCTTAGAAGTATGAATCCTAGGAGGACTCTGCATGGAGAAATAAAAGTCCTACTAGGATTATGCCATTCGAAACCTATAAAAGCTCACAAGCACCACCTTGGAGGAGGTAATTGAACACAATTCTTTCTGAGAACATAGAGCTTTGTCTATTTGTCAAGCTTACTGACTTAGGCATCAGAGAGGTTTCAGGCACACACCCGCCGGCTAGCTCACGTTTGTGTTTTCAGGTGATAAAGCGACGTCGTACGGAGGAGCGTGGACTTGGTCAACAGGATTATACGAGGAGAATTATTTCCTCCCCGTACAGTAATAATATTCATACTTGAGGCCCCATTTTGACAGAACTGCCAAATTTGGTTTGTCTAAAAGTATAATGTAGCCCCATTTTGAAAGAGATGCCAGATTTGGTGTTTACTCTCCCACATGTCAGTTCCTTTACTCATAAAGAATTACAAAGTTTGTTAAAGTAATAATATTCATACTTGAGGCCCCATTTTGACAGAACTGCCAAATTTGGTTTGTCCAAAAGTATAATGTGGCCCCATTTTGAGAGAGATGCCAGATTTGGTGTTTACTCTCCCACATATCTGTTGCTTTACTAATAAAGAATTACAAATTTTCTTAAAGTAATAATATTCATGCTTGAGGCCCTATTTTGCCAGAACTGCCAATTTGGTTTGTCCAAAAGTATAATGTGGCCCCATTTTGCCAGATTTGGTGTTTACTCTCCCACATGTCAGTTGTTTTACTAATAAAGAATTGCAAATTTTGTTAAAGTAATAATATTCATACTTGAGGTCCCATTTTGAGAGGACTGCCAAATTTGGTTTGTCCAAAAGTATAATGTGGCCCCATTTTGAAAGAGATGCCAGATGTGGTGTTTACTCTCCCACATATCAGTTACTTTACTAATAAAGAATTACAAATTTTGTTAAAGTAATAATATTCATTGTGATCAGATTGAAGGCTATTGTTAGATCTGTGGAGATTTAATATGGATTTCATTTCAATAATCTAAATCGTCAATGTGTAGAACTTATCAAATACTATATGCCCGTAAAATATCACATTGATCAGATATCAACAGTTACGTGGTTAAATTAGTTTTGTATAAAAAAATAGACGGTGAAAAAATAAATTATTGATAAAAATCTGATCCGATAAGATAATTATCAATATCCGATCAACGTGATTTTATACAGGTATATAGTACTCAACGAATTCTACACATTGAACGGTTCGGATTATCAAAACGGGACCCGTGATGAGTTTTTACGTGTCTAACAAGATCCTCAAATCCGATCACGGACTGAAGGGAAGCCCAGCCCTTTTTCATAATATCCACACATGCAAATATGCCTATATAGTTACAAAAAAAAATTATGAAAAATGGTTGAGAGCACTAAAAGTGGTGCTCTGATTGCACCACTAATGATGTGGTGCCTATAGCCTTTTTGTTTTTTGTTTTTTTTTGGAATTAGTGCTATTAGTAGTTTTTTTTTTAGTGGTATGAATCATTATTGAAAAATTATTAAGAGTTCGTTTGGGAAGTAGATTGACTTTTTGACTTTTTGGTTATTTTAGCTTGAGACTAAAAAGTCTCGTTTGAAAATGACTTTTTTGACTTTTTGTGAGAGAAAAAATATAATAATTATGAATTGGATGTGATGTTTTGTCTTATTAAACTAAAATACTTATTTTTTCTTTTTGTGACTAAAATAACCCCAAACTCATCCCAATCCATCTTCCCAAGGCTAAGTGTTTCAGGTGTATTATACGACAAAATCATCTATTAATCACAAAATATTATATTCTCATGTCTCAATACAAAATTATGGGCTCCACCTCCTGTCTTGAAACACCGTCTGGCCATGTCAATAATTTCTCCTTATTGAAGTGGACCCATTTCAAGATGTTAATGTGCCATTTATTTTATTTTTTGTTATTTCAAAATTTTAAAATTTCATAACTTTTATTATAAACATTCATTTTAAATAAAATTTATATTTTTTAAATTTACACAATAAGATCTATCAAACAAAACTAATATTGAATATAATTTTTTGTAAAAAAAAATATTCAGTGTATTTTAGTTTCAATTTTCTGAATTCAATTTTTTGAAAACTGAGTTTTTATTTTTCATATTTTTT